GCTGGTGCAGTGCTGTGCTTTGACTTCCAGCCTGAGAACAGTGTTGGTGAAACCAATGTTTTCGGTTGCTGCTAAGTGATGTTTACCCTGACCAAGGACTTTGTGAGGCTCATGCTCTGCCAGGGAGGAGGGGAAGCTGTGAGGAAGCAGAGACGGGGCGCCTGACCCGGGCTAGCCGGGGAGGTATTCCATACCACAGCACGTCATGCCCGGGGTGAGGGGTGACTGGGAGTTACCCAGAAGGACACGGGCTTCCGGGTGGGACTCGTTTCTTGGCCGGTGGTATTGTATTCTCTTCCCTTGTTATTTTCCCTTATCATTGTTGTCATTGGTGGTAGCGGTGGTGATTTGTGTTGTACATTGGTTGCTGGGCTGTTCTTGTCTCAACCCGTGGGAGTTGCACTTTTTTCGATCCTCCTCCCCGTTCCTCCGGGAGCGGGGAAGGGGAGAACCCCGGTGGGGGGGGGACACGGACCTCGATTGTTGTCAGCTCAGCACCACTCACTGGGGGTGAGTGAGCAAGTTACCTGACTGGGTTTAAACCACAACAGACTTGCACAGTACTAGTATGATGGAACACTCCCGAAGCAAGGAAGTTTGATTTTAGGGCGTGTTCATAGCAAAAGCAGCAAATCTGTGAAATCCACACTGTTTATAGTGGACAAGTTTATTAATAATCCCCAATATAATCACTGTAGCTCTATGGTATTAATTATTTTACACAGTGTAGTCAGTTGTAGCCCTGTGCTACAAATTGTCTTGTGCCTTTGACTTCTTTATCTCTGCTGCATCACATTTGTCCAGGCAGACAGCAAAATATAGGAAGGGAAATGAATGTGGAAGTAATGTAGATACTTTGTCTGTTCAACAGATGTTAATTATTCATTTGCCTGCTTATGTAAAGGATGCAATCTAAAATGCTGGTCTTGCATTTTCATAGAGAAATGTAACCGTCTTGAGTATACAATTTTTATACTAATTCAAATGTTTTATGGGGAAACTCCAAATCTGAGAGACTGTGCTTTTTATGTTCATACTGTCCTGTAAGCAGAATAGGTTTTTCTAGTAGGAAAAAGAAAAAAAAAAAAGGCAGGAAAAATTCTGCTGCTTTTGCAGAAATGGCTATGTGTAATTTGACTATGTAGCATTTTTCTCCAGGCAAAGAAACTAAGCAGTTGATGGGGAATAAAACTTCTAAAGCTGTTGTCCCAGACAGGACAACTAGGACTAATGGGTGATTTTTATTTTTTTTTTTTTTAATATAAAGTGAATGGAGGCTATGTATGATGGATGTGAATACATATTTAGCCTCTCCTAATATGACAGTTAACCTCAAGGAAGCACTGGAACACTTACTAGGTGCATCATAGGCTTATAACAAAAATAAACTCTTTTATCTCAGGTTTTGCTTAGTGTGCATTAATTTCCTCGAGTTCTCTGTCCTCTGTGCCTTTTATGGGTTTGTGTAAATACAGGATGTGTCTGATTAACCCCAAAGAAATAAAGAGTTGCATGTGGTGGCATCAATAGAGGCATGTTTCAGCTTAAACTGATTATTTGATAGGATTTTTGTATGGTTACGAATTAACTCCTGGAAGTGAATTTTCATAGCTGGCTGGGCTGTTGCATTTTGTGAACAGAGAAAATGATAGGCAAGCAAATGTAACCTTCTCCATAATGTAAGTCATGGAATGAATCTAATGTTGGTTTTCTCTGCAATGGCAGCATTTGGTTTCTGAAGGTAGCGTGTTTTGTTGGTTGTAATGAGATGTTGACAGAATGTCAACATTGATTCTGGTTTTTAACAAGTTTTACTGGGAAGATATTTTCTACACTTATGACAGAGCTAAAGAAAAAAATCACGATCAGTTCTATAACCTCTCAACATCAAAGGTGGGGGGAAATGTTTTGTAACATTGACGCAATGAAGTGTAAGAAGCTGTCAGTAAAAAATCTTAAATGAAAGCGCTCACAGGTACTGACAAACTTGGCAGCTGTTGAGAGATGCAACTCTTAATTTTTGAGAAAGCTTTTTATGTGGCAGCGCATGCGGAAATTAAATTTGAGAGGTGGAATAACAGCAATGTATTAGTATGCAGTGTGGTGTCATCATCAGTAATATCCTACATACCAGTATTGTAGGCTTGCTCGTTTTATGGGCCTTCTAGGTATGTATAAAGCTGGGGGACTCTTGTACATTTTGTGTTGTCTAATAGTTTTTAAAGATACTTTTGAATACCCCAAACCAGTATTTGGCGGTAAAGAGGCAATACTGAATTCTGCTTGCAAAGCAAATGGTTGTTTAATTAACCAGCCGTATGTTAGAGGTTGGTCTCATAAACAATAACAGATTAAGAGCTTCATTTTTAACAGTTGTTTTTATTTAAACTTACCTTCATTTGAAAGGAAGTGGTTTTGGGCTTTCTCAGTACCTGTTTTTCCCAATAGCTCTTAATTTCTCTTCCTGATGGTGTCCATCACATCAAAGGCCTCTTGCATATATTGGCCCTGGTTCTCTTTATGTACTGAGTTCATGCATTGCCCTGTGTGACTTCACACTGTGAAACTGATGAAAAGTTATTTTTAATAGATGAAATGTAAATGACAGTTTGAAGTCTTAGTCTGGGAGAATCAATACAGTTGAGTTAAAAAAAATAAAAATAAAAAAAAAGCACCAAACACAAAAAACAAACCTAAAGTATCTTTAATCTTGCTCATGTTGTGACTTCAGTTGAACAGAAGGCTGTGGTATTTCTAAATCGTCAATTACATCCTTCTGTATCAGTTTATCCATTGAATGTGCTTTTTCCCCCTTCTTCCTAAGTGGTTTACAGTGCTGCTTCTGCCATTTTATTCTTCCGAATACAATAGCAAGTAAGGAGTAGCCCAGCATCCTGCTGTTGGATCTTTTACCTTTTCAGCATCAGCATTTTTTAAAATACCACTGCTTAACCTTTGTTTTATGTAATGTGATAGCCTTTTCCCTCCAAGACTAGTCTATGTAGCAGAAGTAGAATTTCCTTTCTTCGCATTGTACTCGTCCCTAATACTGAATTGTAGTGGACTGTGTGCAGGTTTATACACTTAGCATGGCATTTCTGTTGTCAGCAAGCAGGATGTGAAAGGAAGGAACAAAACTGTATTGTATCTGCAGCTTCTAGGAGATTTCTTTGGCTGGCTTATGTTGCTGCTTTTAACGATTGCTGCTTAAAATACTGATTTGAATACTACCTCTGTAGAACTTGCGTGGAAGAGGAATATGAATGACAAGGCCAGCTGCATGAGAGGAAAGCATAATGTTGCTGAGAAGAAAATCAAATTGTATCATTAAAAAAAGAAACACCCTTTCATTAGTTAAGTTATTCCTGCTTAACTGGAGCTCTTTAAGGATAGCATAACAGATGTCATTGTACTGCCAGGAGCTTTGCTAGCTGTAGCTACTGATGCAGTTAATTTTGTCTTTCACATCTAATCAGATAAAAATGAATATTGCTGCTGATGTAGAATATTGGCTGAAATGATCCAGGTCTAAATTTTTTAATCAAAATTTGGACTTTGGCAACAACAGCTTCAACTAGTGGAAGAAAAGGTAATCCTTGTCAGGATGAGCTTTCTATCTGCAAGTCTTCAGTTCAGAACAGAAATAGGAATAAGGATTAATATCACCTACCTTCCTGTTATGTTCTAGGAAAAACAAGAAAGAATATGAAGTATGTTTTCTTCCATGGCTTTAATGCAAAATGATAAATGTATGACTAGATAATTTTTGGATTTTTTTTTTTCTCCCACTCTCCCATCATACCCCCAAAAAAGTAAATGCATGGGAGACTATTCCTAGTGATGATCTTGTCTTTTTGCTGTACTTGTACACAAAGCTGAGAAACTGGAGTAGTGAAGTATGTACTAAATTAGACCATGCTTTCTCTCTGTTGGCTTCAGTATACATTCTTCAGAATAAATAAACTATCTTTAAACAAAAAAGTGATACTTGAAATAAAACACAGGCAGGCATGACCAAGTTGTGCTGATCTGTGTACCTTGCAGCTTGATTTAAATAATTGTTTTCTTAGTTGCTACTTAATTCTGTATCATCCTAATTTAAGATCAAGAACAGTACTTAGGAATAACACTTCTTTCATGGGCCAACTTGCTCCCAAGGAAGCAAAAGTAGTACCATAATTTTGAAGAATACTTACCTAAAGCAAATGTGTAGGAATTGAAGTACTGTCTGTGTCCTGACCCAGCTAGACTTGCTTTATTTTTATGCTCCTGGCTAGCAGGCTTACTTTTAACCTGGAACTCTCTGCTTATGTGAATGTTCAGTCTTCTATCCAGACAGTTATTTGCATTTGCAAAGCAGGTTTAAGGAAAAAGTGCTACAGGATTTAGGCCATCAGAGTTTGTGGTATTGAGGTCTTAAGAATCCTCTATAGTTTCCTCTGGAAGAGAAACAGGTATTTGCTGCCAAACATGACCACCCCCCCACCTAAGTGTGTGTGTCTTATCAGAGAGCAGAATTGCTGAATTAATTGGGAGTAAAACCAGCAGGAAACAGTTAATGCCACCTAGGAGCAGAGTCTAGTCTTTATGCTGCAAATTCAGATTGGTCACCATAGGCAGGCTATTACATTCTTTTTAAGAAAGTGCTTTAGTCTGAGTGTTGCAACAAGAGGCCAAGGCTTACATATACTCATATCTATGTGCCAAGCTGAGAACTCTGCAGCTTTAAAATAGTGCTAATTTCTATGCACTTCCCAAAATATGTCGAATGACCTCATTTATTATGTATGCAGACCTTTCTTTACAAAAGTAAGTCTTACAATTAGGGTTAAATGCAGCTTGGTGTAAATGCAGAGAAAACCACTTAGGTTTGAATTTGCAGGAGCAAAATGTGTGTTTCAGTGCAGAATGAGTTGCCCAATTTGTTGCTTCTAAGTGGAAAAAGTGCAATTATTTTTTTCCGAGTGTTAAGTACTAAAGTACTTGAGTTGGAAGATTACTGCAATTTGTGTCATTTCTTTCTTTTGCACATGCTAAATTTGTTACCTAGAATTTTCTTTCCCTGCCAAATAAGAAACAGCAGATCATTTTCTGATCACTTTGTAGCTTCTAAATAATATGCCAATTTGTGGAACTTATAACGCAAAAGTTTTAATAATCCAGAATATTGCCCTAAAGGATCTTCAAATAAAATCAACTGGGCGAGTGCCATTGCTGTGCTTTAGAAAACTAAAACCAGCAGTGGTTACTGTTGATCTACCTAAATAATACTGTAGGAACAGGAAATGATAAAGACAGAACACCTCTTAAACCTGTTTTTCATTGATAATTACCACAGTTTAATATTTTAAACAATAAAAAAGTTTGCATCATGATGTAATTATTAACACAAGTTTGTACAATACCACACAGTATCTGCTAATAAAGCAAGTTTGGCAGCTTAGCAAAAATCATGTGATTGTAGCATCCATGATTTGAATTCAAACAAACAGTGACTTATTCCTCTGTGAAGAGTTGGTAAATCGAAGTAGCACACTTAAGTGTTCTGGACAGTGCTTGATGCCAGTGAGTTTGATGGATATATTTTTAGTGCATGGTCCCTATGCGTAACTGCCCAAATCAAACTATTGTCTCCTTTGAGTTCCTCTTGACGGACTGCAGGCCCAGTGGAGACTGCCGGTTGGAGGGAATGTTGGCAGAATTCGGCAGTACGAGTATCACACGTTGATTGGTCCGACGCCATTCACTGTATAACTTACAGTGATACCTAAAGGATACCTGAGGAGAGAACAGAGATGCTCTTTGTTTAGAGTCAAAGTGGTCATCCAAGGAATCACTTGGGGTTTGGGGGAAATGCCTTGAAGTGGAACAAAAAGCAGCCTAGTTGGGTGGGATAAAAACGAGCAAAAAGTAGCAGGCAAAGATGGGACCTATCAGGTAGATGGCTTGTTCCTCAAGTTGCTACAGCAGAGAAGAAAAGCTGTCGGTGCCCTACTTTCTGCTGTTGCTTCCCTCTTCTTCCTTTATAATATGAAAAATCAGACAAGACTGTCTTTCCCGAGAACTAGAATTCCTGGCAGCTACTTGGAATGAGAAAGATTTTAGGGTCCTATAGTGCTGCAAGTTGTTAAACTGACAGTGTAGCTGTCTGGATGGTGAAGGCTTGCCACTAGCTAAACTGTGTGCAGTGACAGGGTCATATTACAGGTTCTACCCTTTAATGCTTTATTGCTAGGTGCATCACATTAAGATTGCACAGATGCAACAGGGTGAGTGTGAGCCATCAGCCAACACACGTACCTCAGTTTAGTCTTTTTTTGTTGTTGTTGTTTTTATTGTTAATAGTCAACAGATTTCAACCTTAATATAATTCTGCTAGTAGTGGAAGAGAAATGACCAATACAAGATAACTTGGCCCTATATTTTTTTTAAATAGCTTACTGCTTATTTTAGTGACAGCTGAGTGTAGTGAGAATTATGTTTAAGAAGATGTGCAGTTAAAAAAAAACAACAAACAAATGACAACCCTGTAAACTGCCTTGGGACCTTTTATGTTTCAATTACTGTGTTCTTAGCTGTGAGCAGGAGGGACCCATGCAGTGATCACAGGAAGAACCTTGTTGGCTGTTCTGTCTTCATATGCAGCTGGTCATTTGTCACTGATTTTTATGCACCTGAGCCACTTCTGTAGGTCTGTGCTATGCAGAGGGTGCCATGAAGGCTGGAGGGTAGCATGCTTGGTTTGCACGGCTGGGTGGAAGATGCTGCTGACTGCTTGCAGAGAAGTGGCTCTGTGTGCTGCTTGCTTTCCTGCCCTTACAGCAGTGATAGGATGGATGCTGGTGAGGTATGGAGGGAGATTATGCAATATACATGCCTATGATTGTATCCTTCAAAACCCTTTCCTCCTTGCAAAAAGGTGTTTTTAACTAAGTAAATTATTTACCTTCTATAAAACCCTACTAGGGACAAAAAAAAAAAAAAAGACTTGGCTTTTATTAGATATTTATTCAGCTGTCTGCTGGTTAATGAGGGAAACTGATAGAGCTTTTGTTGACTACACAGTTGCAGAAAGACAGCTCTTCCAACAGATCGATTCCCCATCTTTCAATCTCCTCTGCTGTCCCAGAAGGCAAAGCAGTCTACACCTTCATTTCTGTGGAACATCATTATATGAATGAACATGAGAAATCTCTCTTTAAAAAGCACTGCAGTTATCAGCAGGAGCCATGGGGACAAGGAGGGGGAGGGAGCGGAAATGACTGGACACCTGGAAAGATAAATACTTTGCAAAATGCAGTGACTGCTTCAGAGGAGTGAGCTACAGTTTAGCATCATGTGAGCTCTTTGAGGAAGGGCTGCATGTTTAAGCCGTGCTTTAACTCCTCATTTGTTTAAGGCATTTTCACAGGATAATCTAGTTAAGTTTGACAGCTTGTTTACAAGGGGTTCTTGCCTGGAGGCAGTTTCCAAGTGATGTCAGCTACTGAATTTCAGCAGAGCCAATGTTACTCACCCTAAGCTGTTACACTGGATGCAAAACTTGAGATGCTGAGCAAAGGCCAGATTTACACTGGTCCTTGGCACACTATTTGTTGACCTCTTCAACAGGACAGCAAGCAGTGTCTTTCTAACTTACCCTGAATTAATTCAGGTGGGCCTGTTTTAAACCAGCAGTTACGTTACACTGGAAGCTATAGGGCAAATCTTGTACTGCAACATGCTACTTCATCTTAAAGGAGTCAAGATTCTTTGTGAGCAAGAAAGCAGAGTGTGGCCCTGAATTCTCAGTTTAAATAGCAATCTCTGTTTTATGTCTGAAGCTTTCTTCTTGGGAGTAGGTTGGGTTGTCTGGGGGTATGTGTTATCAGGTACAGTGAATAAACTCAGAGAAAAAGCAGCATTGTATGGAGAGCGTGGCTGTTTAAGGGGAGTGGATAAAACAGCTTATTGGATGCTAAAAATAGAATCTCTCCCATTCACTGCTCATTCAGCTAATTATGGTATGTAAATAATCTATATGCCAACTTTTGCCTCATGTTCTGTGTAATTTGCCCCACAGCTCTCAATATACACCCTGCACAGCAATAACTAAGCAAGCAGTGCAGGATTCCCCTATTTCCAAAAATGAAAGGGCAGGTGCTGCTGAAGCATTTCATGGGGCTAGCTTCTGTGTGTGGCCCCATTCCTTGTTATGGGGCAAGCGGAGGAGATGTATCCCCTGTGCAAATGCAAGCTGGGACTTTCCTGTGTTGACTGATGGGTCTCAGCTGCTGAGCAGAGCGGACAAGTCTCCCTCATGTAGGGGATGTTAAGTAGTTGCTTGAAGTCTCTACCTTGATATTGCAAATCTGCCCTCCAAGAATGTGTGTAAACACTGTCACTCAAGCCTGTTGACTTAATCTGCAGATATACTTAAGTCTGCTCCAAACTCTTCTGAGTTTTAATGCTCTTAGGGCAATGAGGGCACCTTCTTACTGTGAAGAGAGCCCCAGCTCCATCCCCATCTGCCCACTGAGTTAACCCCATGCTGAACCAGAGGGTTGCTGTGCACTGAAAGGCATCCTACCTTGCCCTTTCCTGATGAACACAGTGCTTCATTAGCCCATCCACCTCCTGCTGGTCTGAATAATAGATCAGAATGGATTTGCATCTTCCACAATTCAGTGCACATTAAAGATACAGTATTTCAATTAAATTAGCCAAGGAATACATTTACATCAGGCTCACTATCACCACATTCTCCAGCTCCTATAACACATTTCTCTGTATGCTTCTGAAGAGGTAAGACTTAGAAAGTGAATAGAAGGGATTTTGCCACTTATGATGTAAATACAACAGATGATGTTGGGGCTACACTTGAGATGCTGCAGAAGTCTTAATGAGCAGGGTCAGGCATGTCCATGTGTCATGGGTAATTAAATCCAACTTCTTGGCCAGGCTCTCCTTTCTAACTTCCAGCCATTCTGGTGCTTGTGAATTACGTATCTTACATAAATCGGGCAGCATTTGGGGTTCTAAGACAGTCATACACGAAGGAGGTTTGAAAAAGCTTTGCTTGAACACCTGACTGACAGTGCTGCCGGAAGTACAAGTGCTGCTTCACTACTGGAGTGAATGGCTGTCCCGTCAAAGGGGAGTGCTGCTGGTGCTGCTTCACAGAAAATGGAAGCAGAAACAACACAAAGAGAAACTGCAAGGAGGCCGAGGGAAAACTGTCAGCTTTCCCTACTATTGTGTGCTGCTAAGATTCACTTGCAGTCTTCTATGGATGAAACAGGGTGTCACTGTTACAAACGAAGTAAATGAGATGCTACCTTTCAGAGCTTTCTTGGAGATAGCTGTTACGTAGCATGGAGGTTTTATGTTTTTTACCCTCACCATCTCTCCTTTTGCAAGCTTACTGTGGGCTCATGTTTCTTACTGTGTTTTTACCTCTATTAATGTCACCTCCTCAGCAGCTTACACTGATCAAAAACTGCTGGATGGGTTCAGCTATACAGCATGTGGCCATACACAGTGTGCATGAGAGCTGCATGCTAGCCCCGCAGGGTCAGTTGCTGTGCTGGCACCATGGGCAGGGTGGTCTTCCCCCCATCAGGGCAGCACAGGCTCATATGGGTTTTTCTTCTCACAGCAGCACAGCCTTGCATGTGAATGCTCCCTGCATCTGCTGTTCTGTTCTCCTTGCCCGAGAGCTAAAGGCGTAGAATGTCAAACTGAACAGTAACCTGGGATTTTCAGTGAACTGCTAGACCACAACTTGATGAACACTTGTTTTGGCAGCTATCCTCTGGGTTTGCTTCATTAATGCCAAGCCAAGTGTTCCTTGGTGCACTGGGGCCAGGAACTGATCTCAGTTTAACAATTTGACACAAATCAAGTCGCTTTTAGGATGGGTCAGCATGCAAGTGACAGCTGCAAAGGCAGCTGTATTTCTACAGACTTGGGTGTAAGGTGTGTTCTGCTATGGACTTCCCATAGCGCCGCAAGCACAAGTAATGAGGAAAGCATTGGGTGCGCCCACATGCAAGGCTTTTGAATAGTTAAATTAGCCAAATGTTGGATTAAAATAAAATCTGAATCCTCTAGCTTCCACGTTGTTCATCTAAAGCTATTTTGTCCACTGTGCTTTCACCTATTGCACATTAACTTTGATGTAACTCCCTCCCATAGCATGTGTCTTGGAACTCCATGTTGTCTCCCTCTTGCTACCTCCTCTGGTGTTTGGGATTTGAGAATGACTGACCCAAAACCAAACTGTCTTTCTGGATTTCCAGAGAACTTGGGGTGAAACCCAGAGGTTTCTTGCAGATGTAAATTAAATTTATCAGTGCAGAAGGCATATATACGCAAAGCTTTGTGCAGTGGTGCACATGCTCTTCAGCACTCCATCATTAATTTTCTGGTTTGTTCTTTCCCTTATTCCTATGAGTTAAAGAGAAAACTAATACTTACTAGAGTCCAAAACAGGTAAATAGTGAAGAGTGCGACAGTAAGTGCAATAAGGCCAACGGCTTCTAGTCTGCTACTAAAGTGCAGATGGTTCACTGCTCCTCGCAGACACAACCAGCCAGAGATGCTCGCCAGTGGAGTGATAAAAAAGAAGCACAGCAAGTCTCCAAAGAGAGTCCGTTTCTCATGCTGGGGGCCTGGGTTCCTCAGCCACTGCAGGCAAAATGCAGATAAAGCAAGCGTCAGCACAGGGAGGATGTTTTACGAGAGTCAAGCAGCTCGCTTACAAAATGCAGATCTGTTCCTCTGAGGAGGGAACATGGACCATATGCAGGGCAGGGCTTTGGCTGTCCCTAGAGAGGTCATACCTGAACTTTCTCACCTCTCTGCCTGCTGATGTGCACATATACCTACTGCATTGTTTATTCAACTGTAGTTAGAGCTGCCTTGATAAGGGAGAGTGTTTTGCATAGCGCAGCCCCTGGCATTTGTCTGCTCAGCTGTTTGAGGAGCTCCCTTAATGTGGAAGGAATCACACTCTTCTCAAGAAGAGTGCAGAAAGTGTTTGGCCATGGTATTTTAAGTTGGGGTTTGGTTGGTATTCCTTTTCCTTTCTTTTTTTTTTTTTTACATTCTGCTTGTAATACCAGCAAAGCCATTTTCAACTTGCTTTCAGATATGTGCAAGCACTTGAATGCACACAACGTTACATTTATTAAGAGGAAAACCTTGCATGGAGACCTCATGGCAGCCTTCCAGTATCTGAAGGGGGCCTACAAGGGTGCCAGAGAGGGACTCTTCATCAGTGACTGGAATGATAGTACAAGGGGTAATGGGTTTAAAGTTAAACAGGGGAAGTTCAGGTTAGATGTGAGGAAGAAGTTCTTTGCTGTGAGGGTGGTGAGGCATTGGAACAGGTTGCCCAAAGAAGTGATAACTGCCCCATCCCTGGCAGTGTTCAAGGCCAGGTTGGACAGAGGTGTGAGGTGTCCCTGAGCATGGCAGGGGAATTGGAACTAGATGTTCTTAAGGCCCTTTCTCACTCTTGATTATTCTATCATTCTATGAAAACAGAGTGCCTGATAATCAACTGCTGAAGTGAAGGCTGATTGAACAGCTATCAAGCCCACATGCCCATGCTTCTATAAACAGGATTTTAGATGGCAGAGGTGAAAGAAGTTCAGCCTACAACAGTACACTAAGACCTTTTAATAAGGAAACCTCATCACTCAAGTCAATCTTTGAATAGGAAGACTACCAAGCCCTGCAATTTTTTGCTAATGTAAGCTGCAGGCTTTGGTCAGAAGCGCTCTGCAACAATTTTAAATTCTTTGAGCATGTACATGGTGCTACCAAGGATAGAAAATATTTCTTACTGGGGACCCTAACCAGCCTGGGAGCTGTACATGTTACCCTAGCCACCAAGGGCAAACACGTTATGTACTGCACAGGACTGTTTGTACCCCAGAGCCCCTGATCTAAGCAGGAGCCAAAGCTGGGAACAGCCAGCAGAGGTGGAAGGAGCTACCATAACCCCAGCTGCCTGTGCAGCCAGAGCTGGGTTCAAGACAAGCTATCGATTCCCAGTCTATCATGTCCCTCCCAGGCTCTTGCTCCGAGACTAAGGCTATGCTGAAGGCAAGGAAAGTCATGCTCCAACAGGGAGCTATGGCATTATCTGTGACCAGTACAAGAAACCAAAGCTGCTGCAGCTCTGTGCCAGCAGATGTGGATAAGGCTCATGTATCCTTAAACTGTTTGGCCCCTCATTACTCACAGCACATTATAAGTGGCAGTAGAAGTCCAGTCTCCTTAGGTTCATGAAACTAAGGTTAAAACTTCATCCCTTCATCAGTTAATGCCCTTTATTCCCAGTCACCTTGAGGTTTTTTCTTCTTGTGCTACAGCAATTTCCAAGAGGAACAGCAGGACTCAAGAGGTTTGATGAGAGAATAAGGCTAAAGAGTGTTGTGGAAGATAATGAATATTCCTCATCTAGGTATTCTACCCCTCTATTCGGACCCTGTTTCATCTTTTCCTGCTTTACACACACCGTGAAAACAAACAGCAGCATTTATCTCTCCATTGTCATATGGGGTGTAACAACAGTCAAGGAATTAAGTCCAGCCAGGAGCTAATTTGACACTAGCAGAAAGACACAAATCAGTAGACAAGTTTGCCTCAGCCTTACCATCTTCTCAGATGGAAATAATAAATTATCTACTTAATGGGATTTTTTGTGCGGTTTAATTACAACACAGTAACTCAGCAGCCTAAGATCTATTTTCATGTTTGACTCGGGAATTTAAGAGAACACAAAAATACATTCATAAACATTTTTTGCAGGATACAGTCTTTTATTAATCTGAATACTTTTAAAATTCGAAGGATGGGGGAAGTACTTTATAACCGCTATGTACTACTATAAACAAGAAGTTGTAAGGGAAGATGCTAATCAAAGAGGGAGGCTTAATGTTGTTTTTTCACTTTCCAAACAGTGTCTTAAGCTCAAGATTATTTAAGACACCAGAATACCATGTGTGGTAGGTTCACCCCATCCTGCAGCTAAGCACCACACAGCCACTCACTCACCTACCCACCACATCAGTGTGGAGGAGGGAACAGGAAGACGCTGCAGATAGAGCTTGTACAACGTAAGGAGGCATATGTTTACATCTGACCAACTTCATAGAGAAAGCTATAGTTCTTTGTGAGATGCTCACACCACTTTCCTTGGAGCTTTTATTTCATTTACTTAAAAATACTCCAAAGGAATGTGTCCATAACAGTTCCAGGTTTTATTTTGTTGCTGCTAGATAGGACTGATTTCAACTCTCACCTTTGCAGTTGCCAGGAATCCCTATAATCTGAAATTGCCAAGAAAATGAAAAGAACTGAAAGCATCTGGTGGTAAAGGTTCTGCTTTTAAAGGTGACTATGATGATGTTTTTTGAAAAGTATTTCTTTATAAACTGTGACCCACAAGAGAATTGCTGAGCAGCTGCACTAGTGATCTCAATGGGAACTGCAGGTGTTCACCACTTTCTTAGGGTAGACCTTAAAATGCCAACATCTCCTTATGTCAGTGCTATGGCGACTGCCCCTCCTGTAACTGAGCAGTGAAGAATACAATGAAACCTTTCAGAGTCCATTTAGTGGAGGCTGCATCCTCAAATCACAGCCTGTTTTGATTCTTTCGTCCTCCATGCAGCTCAGCTAGTACATGAAATACTTTTTATTGATCAGAGTGAGAAAGAAGATCAGCAACAACACATGCATGTGAAGAAGCACACACATAAAGGCATGTGTTGTCATCTCTGCCCTGTGGCTTTCATGAACACAAGACATGCACTTGAATTAAGACAGCATTTTATGGTGTGCCACCTAATGTGATTGAAATTTTGGGCAGGCAAAAAATGGTGTGAGGCTGCTTACAGGCTGCCTGCACTCCTTATGTCTTATCTGACCCATATGAACAAAGAATCAAATAGAAAAAATTCAAATATTAGACGAGGCTGGGACAGACAAGAGCAGTATTATACAATAATAACTCCTCTCCCGCAATTCTACAGTCTAACCTTAAAAGCTAGTTCTGAGGTTGAAGTCAAAAGCAATGAGTAAGTAATTCAAGTGGCTGTATGGATTTCAGTTGCAGCACGTATTTATCTGTTGAAGTACTTCTGTTTAGATTCTAGGTTTCAGTCTTTTCTTTTGGAAATGTGCACTGTCAAGTTACTTTGAAGCTAAAAAGGCAAGTCAGCAAATCCTTTCCTGAAACTGAAACCCACACAATGGTCTCAACAAAGTGTTGAGCTGATTAATTAGTGTGGCAGTACAGGAGGGCAAAGAAGGAGATCTAAGGCCAGATGCAACTGTCGTATCTGCACTACGACATTCTGAAATCTGTTCTATTAAAATGTGTCAATGCACTCAATTATTTCTGCCATAAATTGAGACTCTTACAGTAATAATTTCCATTTTTGGGGAAAAAAAAAGTCATAAGAAGGGTTATGTTTGAAGTAAAATGCTAGCTTGCCTGGCAAAGCACTATTCTATTGAGTGAAATCTTAAAGTGAACAGTGATTCCAGTTCCTGATACGCAGGTGGAGACCCAGAGTAATACAACATGAATTGACATTAGTAATAGCAGCAAGCCCAAATTCAATAACAGGTAAGCGCAGCACCTGATGCACAACCCTGGCTCATAACTGACACAAACGAAGAAACCCTGGAGAATCCAGCCCCTTGAAGAAACGTGAGGTCCTACCTCATCCCTCACAGTGACACATAGCAAATGGGGTCTGCTCAGATGCAAACACCCTCCAAACCCTTGTCTGCTCCCCCCACTGTCCATGCCATCACTTTGGCAGTGGGTGCTGTGATGGTTGCATGGTCCATGCACACTGCTCCAGCACAAGAGGTCTGTGCTCAGCCACATTCTGCTAAACAGGGCAGGTGCTTCTGAAATAACCTAGACTGGGCACTCTGCAAAAGGGCAGCCACAGCCACCAGTTGGGGCAGGACAGCATCCTCAGCCACATATCTCTTTACCCAGCAGATGTGTGCCTAAGCCTGCAGGCAGTGGCAAAAGCTTTGTTGAGACATACTGGTGATCTACTGCACTCAGACAGGACTGCTTCAACTGGAAAACAGAAGGGGTGTCAGGAAAACAGCCCACACCACTAGAGGTGACTTAAAAAAATCTAGTTATTGCAGCAAAGTCACACTCTAAATGCATCTTGGGGCTGGGCAAAAGAAGGGAGAAATGAAGGGGGACATCAGTAACTGAGAAGTGCTACTTGAGTTCATAAACTCTTTAAAGTAGGAATCCTTTATAGGAGAGAGACGAAACACAGAATTTCATTTGTGAGGACAGTTCACCTCTGGGAACAGCAATACTTTGGGACATAATGGGACAAGGACAACACTGCTCTTATTCAGAGACCAGGGGAGAGGGAGCAGAAATGCTGATGTCAAAAATGGGAAACATAGGAATGGGAGTTCAGTTTCCTTCTCAAGCTTTAGACACCATGGGTCTCATGGACTGGACGAAAAACAAGTCTCCCAAACACAGTGTTGGCTTAAGAACAGCTAACATTGTGAGGCAGAACACAGTGTTGTGCATTCTCCCGAATGCACAATGTTGGCTTAAGAACAAAAGGGTAACAGTTGGCCATAAATACATTTAGATTAAGAATCAAAAAATTTCCCAG